TCTAAAGGAACTCATCTTTTAGTTGTACAGATCTATGTTGATGATATTATATTTGGTGCAACTAACGAATCTTTGTGCAAGTACTTTGCTGACTTGATGTGTAGTGAGTTCCAAATGAGCATGATGGGGGAACTCAATTTCTTTTTAGGACTGCAGATCAAACAAACAGAATCAGGAATATTTATACATCAGCAAAAATATGTCAAGGAACTCCTGAAAAAGTATAACCTTGACAACGCAAAGACTAACCACACTCCTATGGGAACTAACTCTAGATTAGACGAAGATCCCTCAGGAACTTGTGTGGACCAGACAATGTACAGAGGTATGATTGGTTCCTTATTATATTTAACTGCAAGTAGACCTGACATTTCTTTTAGTGTTGGTCTTTGTGCTAGGTTCCAATCAAATCCAAAAGAGTCGCATCTAACTGCCGTAAAAAGAATACTGAGATATCTTAAAGGAACGGCAGACTTGAGTTTATTCTACCCACTAAGTGATACATTCGATCTCAAAGGATTTGCTGATGCAGATTATGCCGGAGACTTAGTAAATCGCAAGAGCACGTCAGGTATGGTTCAATTCTTAGGCTCTTGTCCAGTTTCTTGGAGTTCCAAGAAACAAAACACTGTTGCTCTATCCACTGCTGAAGCAGAATATGTAGCTGCTGCTGCATGTTGCTCCCAATTAATATGGATAAAGCAACAGTTGCGTGATTTTGGCATAATTTTAGAATGTGTTCCTATATACTGTGATAATACTAGTGCTATTTGCATCTCAAAAGATCCAGTACATCATTCACGTGTAAAGCATATTCATGTTAGGCATCACTTTCTAAAAGACAATGTGGAAAAAGGCTCTATTAAATTAGAATTTGTACAAACTGAATATCAAATTGCTGACATTCTAACAAAGCCTTTGAGTAGAGAAAAATTCGAAAAGATGCGATTGGAACTCGGAATGATAAAGCTGAATTGAGCAGTTCTTCTTGGAACCCCAAGGTATGTCTTAGTGAAACGACTGAGCATTGCTATATATAACCTTGGTGTGAAAAACATAATCTCGAATCTTGCAATGAACAAGCATGTAATTCTAATGAGTGTGTGATCATGTGATTATGTCAATAAAGAAGACAAATTAAGCCATATTATTTTCCAAGTTTTTTTTTAAAAGCTCTGTACAGGTCAACCAGTATTTTACTCTGAAGTAACTTACTGGCATTTTTATTTATCTTTAAATTTTTAATTTTATCTTTTTTTCATCTTATAAATTCCAAAACAACAAAAAGATTTTTTTTCTCAATTAGATTTTATCTTATTTTTATTTTTCTTTTTATTGTAAATAAATCACACAACCTTTCAACCTCCCCACTAACACGCTTTCCCACATTCACTCCCACATTCACTTCACCTAAACCGTCACTTCACCACACCCCTTAAACCGTCACTTTTTACAAACCCTTCAACTTCATCACCTATCATCACCCGTCACTCCCCACAAACCCCTCCTCACCTTCACGTTCCCACCAACCTCCATTTATACACTTCTCCTACTTTCTCAAAATTCACCCAACCATGAAAACCAACATAAATTCCAACCCCTTAGAACGACGATCCGGACGGAACTCACCATCAAAACCCGTCCCTCCAACTATGATAATCCCTTCCTCCTCTCACGCACCAAAACGCAAGGCTACTCAACCCAAGGAAAAACCAGAAAAAACTAAGGCCCGTCGCACCAAAGCCTGGCAAACCCGAAACGACAAATTCTTACTTGGGTATGCAATTGATCACTCATGGTGCACGGATTGTAAGTTTTCCGAAATTTTAGAGTTGTTGGATTATCAAAATTGGATATATTTGTTGGATGTATGTTCAAAGTTTCCAATTTATCCTACATTAATGGATGAATTTTGCTCCTCTTTTGTTTGCGTTGATGGTGTATGTAGTGCTACGGTTGGTGGTGTGAATATTGAGTTTGATGCAGGTTATTTGGCCAAATTGTTTAAAACCCCAAATATTGGATATAGAACCTATGTCAAAAACAAATCCAAAAACACCGTAGATGGCCACAATGAAACCGAAATTGTCACATTTATTGGTGGAAACCCGAAAGTTACTACAACTAACCACAATGCCTTAACTCCTTTGCATAAACTATTGTTCAACATCATTTGGAGAGGAATTCTTCCTCGTTCCCAAAAACGCAGCACTGTAACCCTGTTAGATGCATCCCTTATCTTCTGTCTAGCAAAGAAAGTTAGCATTAACTTTCCTGCCTTAATGATAGCCCACCTAGACCACTGCATTCCCGACCTACACATACCCTATGGTTCCCTTTTGACAGTGGTGTTTCAGGATTTGAAAGTTCCTTTGCCACAAACCGAGACATACATTCTCAAACCTGAACACATCCTTCAAGAAAAATCATTGTTAAAGCTGAAATTAAAAGTGGTGAATGGGAATGTTTGTTTTGCATCTAATGTGCAAAGTGATTCCGAGGGGGAACACAGTGAGGGGGAAGGAGACAAGAAAGAGGAAAATCGTGAGGAAAATAAAAATGCAATTGGAGAGAAAGAACCAGAGAAGGATTGTGAAAAAGAGGTAGAAGAAGTTAAGAGTGATGGGGTAGTAGAGAGTGCAAATGAGGAGGAGGAAGAGGATGATCAAGAGAATGAGAAGGAGGAAGAGGATGCTCAGGAGGCATTACTGCAAGAGTTACTTCAGGAAGTTGGGGGTTCTGTCAAACACACCCCTATACCAGGCAGACGAAGGAGGAGTGTCAGATTTGCTTCATCCAAACCCAAACCCCTGCATTCTGAGCTTGTCATTGTTGAGTTGGATGAAGAATCAACTAAAGTTTCTGAAGGAACTTCCACCCAAATTCCTCCGGGCCCCTCCTCTTCTGTTCCAGAGGGAACTCCATCACCACCTCAAATTCCATCCCCTGCTCACCACACCATACCTTCTCCCCTTGCTTCCCAGCCTTGTACTTCTGGTTTCGGATTCAGCGCTTTTAGCTCTGGTCCAAGTCTCTTGCAAATCCAGGAGGAACTTCAGCATTTGTCCACTACACTTACACAGAGTATAACTACCCTTACCTCTAAAGTGGATCACTTGGCTACTACAGTTGAGGGGCTGCAAACTCAGATGATTTCTCTGGAAAATAAAATCAATGCTCATATGGACTCCTCATCCCAGGAAGTCAAAGCTACGGTGAAGGAACAGTGCTACAAGACCATTCTCAAGGCAATCAAAGATGTTCCTTTACCATGAAGCTCCTACCACTTCCACTCTCTGCCAAACATACCTACCCCACTGTCTCTTGTGATTTATGAACAATGTTCTTCTGTTCAGTTTTTCTTTTGTTAATTTTGGATCTTTTTTGGTTTGTTTTATAGATTTTGTTTTGATTCGGTTTGAAATCAATTGGCTTGATTTGTTTTTTAATTTGATATTCTCATTCTGGTTGCATATGAGCTGTGTGCGCATGCTTAATCGTTCATGAATTCAGATTTACTACTCCCTCCGTAGTTTAGTACTATATATAGCATGCTCTTTCTATCATTTTGATAATGTCAAAAGGGGGAAGAGAAGAACAAACTCAGAAAGCTGGACTCAAACCGATTCCCTTCAAGTCTTCATCGTTTAAGCAAAGGTATAAATCTCATAATTTATTAATTTGTAGAATGATGCAGACTTCTTAATACTTAGTTTATTTTTTTCTGTTTTGTTTATATAATTAGTTTACTGTTAATAGTTCCGAAATTTGCCTGGATGATTATTTTGTTTTAACCGAGTTTGTTTTTGTTTGTCATCATCAAAAAGGGTGAATATTGTTGAATTGACTACCTTATATTTTGATGATTGACTTACGTAAAACAAACTCCGACTAATGATGTTTAAAAGAGTCTTGGTTAAGCAGAAGATTCAGGTTTGAAGTAATATGTTCCGGAGTAGGAACAACAAAGTTTGGAAGACTTGATGATGAATGCAAGCTTTCAAGATGTCCTCATATCTCTATATACTTAGTTACTCAGTGTATGAACTTAAGAAACAAAAGTGTTGGAAGGAACTAAGAAGAAACATGAAGTTCCTGAAGGAACCTGAAGTTCCTGAAGGAACTTGACGATTAACGGATGACTCAGAAAAGTTTTTAACAGTTTTCAAAATCCTTAATTTAAGGAAGAGATAAAATCAGTTTGAAAATATTGGGATAAAATCAGTTGAAAAGATTTATTTTATAAATAAATAAAATCTAAATAATTCTTTAATTTAAAAGATAAATTTATTTTAAATTAATTAATTGTTTAAATATCTTTTTAATAAATAAATATTTATCTTTTTAATAAATGTTCTTTTAAACTGATTTTTGACTTGGTAAAATTCTGTTTGCTTAAAAACAGGATGCACGTTGGATTTGGGAGTCAAGTTAGTGAAATCATGGTTCTCAACTTCCTCCACTTACATCCCAACTTCCCAGTATAGGTGAACGTGGGATTGAGGGGGAAGTAGGAACATGATGGAAGCTTGGATAATCTCCCTATAAAAACAGATCAACGTTAAGTTTTGAAAGTGTGGAAAAACAATCTTAAGTATTCTGAGCATAGAGTTTCAAAGTGTTTAAAAGAGAAGTTCCTTCCATCCTTAGTCTCTTAAGTTCTTTAGAAAATACTTGTAATCATTGTGTAATTGGGTTTGGGTTGTGAGAGTTGTAAAGTGTGAGATTTGAGAGAGTTGTTTACACTGTACAAGTGATTCGGAGTAGAATCACAAAGTGTGAGAAACTGTGATTGAGGGATCACAGTTGGGTAACTTGAGTTCCTCACGGAACTTGAGTCTAGGCAACGTATTAGTGATTGTAAATCATTTTTACATAGTGAATTTATTCATTGCCTATCTCAGTGTCTTTTCTCTTAGTAGTAGATTTAATTCCGCAAAATTTACCATAGTCTACATACACTACAATTCACCCCCCCTCTTGTAGTATACATTGTTCTATCAGGCTGTTAGATGCGATTCTTTGGGGTTTGATTGGAACCTAGCACACAGACCAACACTAAAAGAAATGTCAGGTCTACTTGCAGTTAAGTATAGTAAGGAACCAATCATACCTCTATACTTTGTCTGGTCCACACAAGTTCCTGAGGGATCTTCGTCTAACCTAGAGTTAGTTCCCATAAGAGTGTGGTTAGTCTTTGCGCTGTCAAGGTTATACTTTTTCAGGAGTTCCTTGACATATTTTTGCTAATGTATAAATATTCCTGATTCTGTTTGTTTGATCTGCAGTCCTAAAAAGAAATTGAGTTCCCCCATCATGCTCATTTGGAACTCACTGCACATCAAGTCAGCAAAGTACTTGCACAAAGATTCGTTAGTTGCACCAAATATAATATCATCAACATAGATCTGCACAACTAAGAGATGAGTTCCTTTAGATTTTAAAAACAAAGTTTTATCAATTTTTCCTCGTTTAAAATCATTTTCCAAAAGGAACTTGGACAGTCTTTCGTACCATGCTCTTGGAGCCTGTTTTAGCCCGTAGAGAGCCTTATCAAGTTCAAAAACATGGTTTGGAAAGTTTGGATTCTCGAATCCAGGGGGTTGATCGACGTAAACTGTTTCTTTTAATAAACCATTCAAAAACGCACACTTTACGTCCATCTGATACAGTTTAAAACCCATAAAAGCAGCAAAAGATATTAAAATTCTAATAGCCTCAAGTCTAGCAACAGGAGCAAATGTTTCCTCAAAATCAATACCTTCCTGTTGGTTATATCCCTTTACAACCAACCTAGCCTTATTTTTTACAATTGTACCATATTCATCAAGTTTGTTTCGAAAGACCCATTTTAAATCTATGACCTTTTTATCTAGTGGCTTAGGTTCAAGATGCCATACCTGATTTCTTTTGAATTCATTAACTTCCTCTTGCATGGCTATAATCCAGTCAGGGTCTTCTAAGGCTTCTTTAAGGTTGCGAGGTTCCAAAGTAGATAGAAAAGCATTGAAGGCACAGAAGTTCCTCATTTGCGATCTAGTCTGAGTTCCTTTGCATAAGTCACTAATAATTTTGTCCAGTGGGTGTGACTTTTGGTGCTTCCAAGGTTTGGGCTGGAAGGTTTGGATAGTAACTCGACTATTCTTATTTTCTGAGCCAGTTGCTTCTTCTTCAGTGATTTCCTCTTGTGTTATTGGTTCCTCGGCAGGTTCTTCAATCTGAGGCTGTTCTGTCGAAGGAACTTCAGTCAGTATGTCGAGTTCCTTCTCCGGATTTTCATGATTTTCATTTACTCGAGTTGGCTGCTTATTTGGAATTATTGCATCTTCTTCTTGTTCTTGAGAACTTACTAGACCAATTTCAAAGTCATAGTCCTCATGTTCCTGTGTACATGGAAGTGGATTAGTTTCATCAAATATAACATGCACACTTTCCTCAACACACATAGTACGTTTATTGTAAACTCTATACGCTTTACTGTTAGTAGCATATCCAAGAAATACGGCTTCATCACTCCTTTCATCGAATTTCCCTATGTTTCTTTTACCATTATTATGTACAAAGCATTTACAACCGAATGCTCTAAGATGAGATATGTTCGGTTTTCTGCCTTTCATCAGTTCATAGGGTGTCTTATTTAATGTAGGCCTTAGCATGACACGATTTATAATATAACAGGCTGTATTCACGGCTTCTGCCCAGAAGTTTCTTGGAAGATCGCTGGCTATTAACATGGTTCGAGCCATGTCTTCTAAGGTTCTGTTCTTCCTTTCCACAACTCCATTTTTCTGTGGAGTTCTTGGAGCTGAGAAATTATGACTTAAGCCTTGTTCCCTGCATAAATCATCAAATTTAAAATTCTCAAATTCAGTGCCATGATCGGATCTAAGGTGTATCAGTTGATGACCTGTGGACTTTTGAATTCTCCTGGAAAATGTAACAAACTCGTCAAAAGTCTCATCCTTACTAGACATAAAAATAACCCATGTAAATCTAGAATAATCATCAACAATTACTAAGCGTACTTCTTTCCACTTCTACTTTGAATTCTCATAGGACCACATAAATCCATATGAATTAACTCTAAGGGTTTCGTGGAACTCACCATCTTCTTGGATTTAAAGGATGTCCTGACCTGCTTTCCTTTCACACAAGCGTCACAAATTTTGTCACATAGGAACTTGATTGAAGGAAGTCCCTCTACCAAGTTCCTTGTTTTTAACTTATCAATCAAAGAGAAACTTGCATGACCAAAACGTTTATGCCACAGTAAAGGATCATCCTCAATGACACTGAGGCAAGTTAAGAGTTTCCTCGGAACTGTATTGAGATCCACTGTATAAGTGTTTCCTTTCCGAGTTCCTTCCAGCAAAACTTTCCCAGTGTTATTCTGAATGATGCTACATTTTTCAGAATCAAAACTTACAGAGTTTCCTTTATCACAAAATTGTGATATGCTTAATAAGCTGTGTTTGAGGCCCTCGACTAAAAAACATTATCAATAGCTTGGGAACTTGACCTTCCAACTTTTCCTACGGCAACAATGCTGCCTTTCTTGTTATCACCAAAGGTCACTGTTCCTCCTGTATAGGCCGTCAGTGAGAGAAATCTTAATTTAACTCCTGTCATGTGCTTGGAACAACTACTATCGAGGTACCATTGGTTGTTCCCCCTCACTACGACCTGCAAAAGAAACTAAGGGTTAGATTCAGGAACCCCATCTTTCATGGGTTCCTTTGTTGATACAGCAAACTCATTTTTCTTTTGCCATACATAAGCTATATTTTTAGTGGACTTAAGTTCCTTTCTTTTGCAATCAGTATCTTTGTGTCCTGACTTGCCACAGAAGGAACACACAGTCTCACTAGGGAGTTCCACGTACTTTTTCTTTTTACCACTATTCTTCTTTTTGTGGTTGAAACCCAAACCCTCTGTCCTTCTGGTTTGAGCTTCGGATATCCACCTTGGAACTCCCATGTGGATTGCACTTTTGTTGTTTCTAGCTCTTTCTAAATCCTTTTCAAGGGATTCATTTTTGTCTTTAGTAACCTGCAATTCTTTTTTCAAATTTTCAAAATCATCATTCAAGGTTACTAAAGGCAATTGAAGAGCACTATTAGAATCAATGTTAGTGCATAACAATTTATACTGAGTCAATTAAACATTTAACATGATATTTTCATTTTTGACTCTTTCCAGTGTTTCTTTAAGCATAGTGTTTCTATCTAGCAAATCAAAGAATCTTCCCTGAACATCTGTTCTTGAACTATTCAAATATTTCATATGATCCTTATAAATTTCTAGAGCTTTTTCATTTTGTCCAAGTTTAAGACATATTTCTTTATATTCATCCAAAGTTTCTATGAGCAAAGAAATTAATTTGTCTTTTGACAGGGATTTCAGAAATTTAGGTTCGAGATTTACCTCCTCTGACTTTTAAGCAGACTCACTATGTTTAGCCATCAAACACAGGTTTGTCGTCTCTTCTTCCGTGGATTCTTCTTCATCCTCGGAACTTGTGTCTCCCCACGCAGCTATCATGGCTTTCCTGTAATCAGATTTTGAAAAGTTTGGAGTATTAGATTTTCCGTGTTCCTTCATTTTGCCTTTTCCTTTTTCTGATTCCCAGAGAGGACATTCCTTGATGAAGTGATCTGTGTTCCCACATTTGTGGCATCCTCCAGTTTCCTTGGAATATTGGTTTTTCTTGAAGTTCCTTTTCTTTTGGTCACCAAACCTTTTGTTGCGGTACAACTTTTTTAGCTTCCTGACTAGCATGGCAGCTTCTTCCTTTCCAGATTCGGAATTCTCTTCACTTGGTTGGACAAACTTTAGAGCAATTCCTCGGCTCTTTGAACTTTCTTGGCTTTTGTTTGATAGGTGAAGCTCATGAGTTATTAAGGAACCTGCAAGTTGTTCAAGGTTGAAAATTGTAAAGTCCTTTGATTCCTGCAAAGCTGCCACTTTGGATCTCCACCGTTCATCTTCAGGAAGACTCCTTAGAATTTTGCGTACCTGTTCATCCATAGGAATAACTCTACCAAGAGAAACTAATTCATTAGTAATATTTTTAAAACGAGTAAACATTTCTTGAATAGTTTCTTTTGAACCCATTTCAAAACGTTCATATTTAGAAAGCAGTATATCAATTTTAGAACGTTTAACTTCATGAGTTCCTTCGTGGGTTATTTCTAGTAAATCCCATATTTCTTTTGCTGTTTTACATCCCATAACACGAGTGTGTTCATCTGGCCCTAAACCCCAAACTAGGAGTTTTTTAGCAGTAGCATTAATCTCTTTCTTCTCAAAGTCGCTTCTATCGTATTCAGAAATAGGTTTAGGAATTACCTCGTTTTCTGCATTGGCCTTTGTTACCTCGTAATCTCCTACCTCGATAGCTCGCCAGACTTGATAATTCTCGGACTGTATGAACATCTCCATCCTCGTCTTCCAATAGGCGTAGTACTTCCCATTGAAGAGTGGAGGTCTTTGTGTAGAATAACCTTCAGCTAGTCTCTCGTCCTTCGACATTGTTCCTCCAGAAACTTGACTCGACAGGGCTTCCTGCTTTTCCGAGTTCCTTGCTCTGATACCAATTGATAGAACAATGTATACTACAAGAGGGGGGTGAATTGTAGTATATGTAGACTATGGTAAATTTTGCGGAATTAAATCTACTATTAAGAGAAAAGACACTGAGATAGGCAATGAATAAATTCACTATGTAAAAATGATTTACAATCACTAATACGTTGCCTAGACTCAAGTTCCGTGAGGAACTCAAGTTACCCAACTGTGATCCCTCAATCACAGTTTCTCACACTTTGTGATTCTACTCCGAATCACTTGTACAGTGTAAACAACTCTCTCAAGTCTCACACTTTACAACTCTCACAACCCAAACCCAATTACACAATGATTACAAGTATTTCCTAAAGAACTTAAGAGACTAAGGATGGAAGGAACTTCTCTTTTAAACACTTTGAAACTCTATGCTCAGAATACTTAAGATTGTTTTTCCACACTTTCAAAACTTAACGTTGATCTGTTTTTATAAGGAGTTAAACCAAGCTTCCATCAAGTTCCCACTTCCCCCTTAATCCCACGTTCTCTTTGACTGAGAAGTTGGGATGTAGGCAGAGGAAATTTAGGAACATGATTTCCCTAGCTTGACTCCTAAATTCAACGTGCTCCTTAATTTAAGCAGCCAATATTTACCAAGTTAAAAATCAGTTAAAGACTTATTCAAAAGATAATTATTTAATAAAAAAGATAATTATTTATTTATTAATTAAAAGATAAATAATTAATTAATTTAAAACTTATCTTTTTAAATTAATGAATTATTTATTTATTTATAAAATCTTTTTAAATCTTTTTCAAAACTGATTTTTATCACTTCCTTAAATTAAGGGATATGAAAACTGTTTTAAAACTTTCGTTTAAAACTTTATGAGTCAATCGTCAAGTTCCTTCGGGAACTTCAGGTTCCTTCAGGAACTTCGAGTTTCTTCTTAATTCCTTCCATTCCTTCCAACACTTTTGTTTCTTAAGCTCGTACACTGAGTAACTAAGTATATAGAGTTGTGAGGACATCTTGAAAGCTTGCATTCATCACCAAGTCTTCCAAACTCTGTTGTTCCTACTCCGGAACATGTATTTGTGTACCTGAATCTTTCTGTTCAACCAAGACTCATAAACATCATTAGTCAGAGTTTGTTTTACGTAAGTCAATCATCAAAATATTAAGGTAGTCAATTCAACAATATTCCCCCTTTTTGATGATGACAAACAAAAACAAACTCGGTTAAACAAAACAAACATCCAAGCAATCAGAGTAACCAATCCAAGCAAATTGTCGAGTGTCTTATTTATAAATTAGGTTAGACATTGGAAGATACAGTACTAAGAAAGACATATTGCAGTCTTATGGAAGAGGCTTTCTTAAGCTATCTTTACTTTCAAGCTATGAATGGGGACATAAGAGAATGGTAATAATTTTGGCGGCACATAGCATGTTAAATTGAGTTTATATCTGTATCCACAATAACAAGCAAGAAATTTATAAATTCAGATCTCCTCCCTCCCAAGAAATGAGTTATATCATTCCTAACATAACCCAACCTATTCATGAAAATAGGTTATCAAAACTCATACTTCTCCGATTTTGAAATAGTGCGCCGAGTATATTAATTTGTTCCACATGTGAAAATTTCAAGTTCCATTTCGTGCGATCGGTGTAACCAAGCTGTTTAACATAGATTGACCATAACAATATAGAAGTTCAATTCTGAGCACCTACCGAGCTTGAATAACCATCTCATAACCTTCCTTTTATATACAAATCAGCTTCGTTCAACCTTGGGCCAAGATCAATTAATTTATACTAGTGTATAACACTCACGTTTTTTTGGTTCACTCACAAGTTTAATTTTTAAGAATAACCCCAACACATCAACACACAAGTTTTACACAAATTGCGAGACAGAAGATTTGAATCCGTTCGACATACACTTGATACTTGAACAACATAGTTTCTCAAGTCCTTTACATAACAAACCTTCAAAATAAGGCCCAACCCAACAATTTCTTTAATAAAGCATTCAGCCCAATTTTCCCCCTCCCCAAATTTGTTAATTTTTTTTGAATGAAACACAATCTGATTTTGATGGAGCCAAATTAGCAGAAGTTCTCAAAAAATGACAATAGACGATAACAAATCCGTTTACGTCGGAGGACTTCCGTACGATTGCTCGGAATCCCAACTTCGTCGTGCATTTGATTTGTACGGCTCCATTATCGCTGTTAAGGTTTTTCTCTCTCCTCTTTTCAATCAATTTTTTTTTTCTAGGGTTCATTTTACAGCATTGTTACCTCAATTTTTTTTTTTTTTTTTTTATTTTATTTTTTTTTTTTAACTTTTTGTATAAAATGTTATGCGAATCCTTGAATTTGTTGTATTTGTTGAATTCGCGAAATTTGTTGAGAGTTGTAATTTTGGAGATTTTATGATCTTGTTTTTAGAATGAAATGAATATTCGGTGCGTAAATAGTGTAATGAAGTCAGTGATTTTGAACGGTTGGAGAAATTGGATTAATTGCTAGTGTGGTATTGAGAAAGTTTATTTGTGAAATCGTGGAATCAAATTATATTGTTTGATTGCCAAATTTTTGTGACTGAGAGTCTGAGAATGTTGCAATTTTTGGATTGGAGCATATTTGATTTTGTTTGAAGAATCAGCATTTTGTGAAATTAGCTGTTCTTGTTCCAGGTAAAGATAAAAAACCAAAAAAGGGAAAGCGGGCCATATGGTAGGTGAAAACGGGATGAATAAGCTAGTGTGGTATGAGTTTATGCTTGGAAATGGGCAGTATTGTCTAGAGAATCATGTTAATTTAAGTTTGTGTTATGAGAATTTTGTCCATGCTCGGTACTTGGTCGATGTATAGAGAGGCAGTTTGCAGTCTACTTTTTGATTTAGGTGTGGTAACCCTTGATTATGTCATAGTGATTGATGAGAAATGCTGAAAAGTTAAATGTTAAACAAAGCTAGTATAATTTTGCTCATCGTAACAGTTTAAAAGTAACATTTTAAGGTAATTGGAAACGGCCATATTTGAATGAAGATTACCACGGTCTCAACCAAATGATTTTGGTAAATTATCATTTGCTTATGTTATCATCTTTCCATTACATGGAGTATGAGTGTTTGACAGATATAAATATCTTAGTGTCTTACAACACTATCAGCAAATTTCCTTAAAGTTGGACATCGAAACACTTTCCTTATAGTTACCAACTTAAAATATAATGGATAATTGAAATAGCATAGTTTTTTTTGCTTGGGAAATTTGATATAGTTTGTTAGTCATCTATGGATAAGATAACTTACGTGTAACCCTTGAAGGGAGCCTTGCTTAACATTTTGGGGTTATTAAAAAGGATTTATTACCAAGGAATGATGTGGGTGTGGGTTTAAGTGATAATCTAAATTTTTATATTTAGGATGTTTCATATATATTCAATTTACTACCTTTCAATTGCCATACATATTACCAAATCAACTGATATGCTTGGGTTTCATACTCACTCTCAAGGAACTAATTGGCTAATCACTGCCTGTGGGAACATATATTAAGTATTTGTTCCTTTGCTTCCCCTATAAGCCATATAATTCTGCCTCTTTTACTTTGCATGGGATTAAGTTCTTCAAGTGCCTGGGAAAAAGAATGGGCTTCCCTTGAATTCTAGGAAGGATTAAGGAGGAACTTGAAATTCTCTATCATCAATATTGAGAGGATAAAGTGTGTCAATGTCACTTGATTTTTTTTTATTATCTAAAAACGAAGCTTACTAAGGTTTTTATGTGACCATAGTCTTCACGGTTTATAGCCTCTCCACATGCTTGGCTTTTTTCTGGGCATCAATGCATCATCTTTAGAATACCCTCTTTTTTTTTTTTTTTTTCTCTTTATTTTTTATGATTATTAATTTTTTGCATGTTTTGACTTTTGACAAATAGATAATCAATGATCGAGGTGTTGGAGGAAAATGTTATGGCTTTGTTACTTTCAAAAATCCTCGATCGGCGATTGAGGCCATTGATGAGATGGATGGGCATGTATGTGTCCTTTCTTTATATTAATCATATTTTAATTGAGTAAAATTCAAGGAGCAGTTTTCCGTATTCACTCTTTGCTTTTAATTTCCTTTTAATTAATCTCATTCCTTCAGACTATTGGTGGTCGAGTTGTACGGGTTAATGGAGTAAGGGCAAGAGGTGCTGGTTCAAGATCCAACTTTGGTCATGATAGCTTACGACGTGATCAGAGGGAAAGTGTCTTGGATTATGACAGGGGCAGAGGTAGAGAAAGGGAGAATAACTTTAATAAGGATAGGCAACATGATAATTCCCTAGAGCATGATGGAGAAAGGGAAAGAAGGCATGATAATTTTCGTGATCGTGATCAGTCTAGAGATTATTTCCAAGGAAGAGGTCGAGGTCAAAGCAGGGATTTGATAGATTGGGAACGGGATCGGGGACGGGTACATAGCAGAAATTGTGATCGAAAATTGGAAAATGATAAGGATTTGAATTCTACTCAAGATAGGGAGCTTGATCGAGTAGTCACTGATCACGATAAAAGGGTTGACAAGAGCAGAGCCCTACATACAAAGAGAAAGAACAGGTAAAAGATTATATACTTTGCTACCTCTCTGCTGCTGCTACATTATCAGTGCTAAAAGTTTGTTTCAGGTCTTTTCTTACATTTCAAGTAAAGCCATTTGAAAACAAGTACAATATTGAGACTAATAAAAATCTTGTACTGATGAATTTTTTTGGGTCCAAGCTCAAAATTACCTTAAAGGACTTTTAAACCAATTTGACACCACAATGACGGTGACCTGGTTTGTGACTGGTGTTTTTGCTACATTGTGACGGCTATTGTGATCACGACCATACCTTCTTTTTTGAACATTGGCTTATAATGGATGATTGCTAGCGCAAACATTCTTATCATGCACCTGACTCCTGAAAATTACATACTATAAAAAAAAAAAAAAAAAAAAAAAAACCCGTATGATTAAAGAACATATATTATCTATAATCATGACATAAAATACAAGAAACAAAATAGCATGTATGTAGTTCAAATTAAATGAGCGAGAAAATGTTTAAAAATAATTAGGCAAATCTTATAAAAAGAATATTAAGTGAGAACACATTATAGTTATTTCTCATATACCTTTAAGTTTCTCATTTCTCTCCCTTTCTCCTTCCACATTAACAGATATGCAGTATTTGCTGCCCCTTGTCACCTATATCTGATATGATAGATGCTTTCATACCTTGTACCTCACTTTTTGGACCAATATGTTGTTGTTCATCATTAAGTGTAATCTGTATGCTATACTCTGTACTACAATTTATTTATCTTTTTTTGTTTTTGTTTTTTTATTTTCTGGATGCATTCTGTAGATGTTAGTTTATTTAGAAAGCTACAACGTACACGTTGCTCTTCCCCTCTTCCTTTTGCTTCACTATATCCTTTCTTTCTCGTTTACGATCTACTATAAGTTGGTACTGTGGAAAGTTTTATGGTTGATTCTCCCACTTAAGTTCTAGATTTGGGACATTGGTGTCCAAAGAAACACTTTAATGCCAAATGAACATCATGTTATGGGATTGAACATAATGATTGTGCTGTTGAGTAAGTGGTAATTGCATCAGGGCTGGAAGAGCAGGGACTGTAGGGGAAGGAACAGGGTAATGGTGGGATTTCAGTTGTGTTGGTGCATGTGTTAGTGTAGAGGCTGCTCCTTTTTGTTTCTCTCTTTATTCTTGGGTTCCCTTACCTTGCTCAGAGCAGAAGTTGTATCAGCACTGCGGCAAAACCGCAAAAGTAGTTACTGCTCTTGATTCTAGAGTAGGGGTTTGGGGCAAACCCTCCTTTCCTCATGGTTGTGAGAAACCCATTTCTAGTGTATAGAAAAGGTGCTTCTAGAGTCCTAGGCAAGGCCATTTCATTGAGTCGCATCCAAGGAATGCTGAGTTGCTCTAAGGCACACTGAGTTGCATGTTTTGATTTTCCGTTAATTGCACCATACTGCTAAAAGGCTCTTAAGGATCCTTATCACCTTTATGCGTTTTAGCCTTTTTATTTATACATTGCTCATATCCCAGGGTTTCCTGAAATTCATCGACCTAACATCAAGTAAAGTTTGGGTGATTTTATAATCCATAGTGACTTACCTATACTCAAACAAACAGGGCCTTAGTATGTGGTTAAATTTGTTTGTGATGTTTATATGCTGTGCTCTATATGTTGCAGTCCTTTAAGCATCCCAGATGTTGTGAAAGAATAAAAAAGCCTTAGTTGACAACATCTCTCTGTTCTTTACATTTTTTTTTCTCCCCTGCTAAACAGCTCCAGTAGTCATGACCGACATAGTAGAGATTTGTCATCAGAATCAAGTGATTATCAGTACCAGGTGAGCTTATTTCTTAAGGGTAGACTATTCATGAATACAATTCATTAATTTTGGCTAGAAGATGTCATCGTATCAACATTGTGCTTCTCTCTTCTCTATTATTAGATGGAAGAGCAGCTGGATATGTTGATTAAAAGACGAGAAGAACTTCAGAAGGAGGTCTGTGTTCAGACTAGACTCTTGTGACATTTTCAATACAACATAACACCTTTAAATTTTCATGTTGCTAGTGCTTAGGATTAGGACTACTTATCACTCTTATTTGCATTTGAGGCATTTAGCACTAGCAGTGTTAGAAGGTATAAGCTGACTGCTAAAGGTCTCAAATTCTTCCTTGTTCAGTGCTTGGCCTGTGAAGAAAGCAAAGTGATAAAATTGTGGGAATTCCCATAATGTCTCCTATTTGTTTCCACTCCCTGGGAGGGGAGGGGGGGGGGGGTGGTGGAGTGTGGAGTATCATATGGCATTATATACTTGTAGGTCATTAAGTCATTTACGTTTAATTGGGGTTGGAGGGTATTTGAGAAACAAGATCATTATCGCCCAAATAAGGTTAAACATATAGACGGAGAATTAGTATCAAAAGAGCTTCAGCTTTTCTCTAACCTGCGGATCTGCTTTAAGTTAACCTTCTGCTGACCACACTTCTTGTATATTCAGATAATCATTTCTGCTAATGGCTAATTACTTTACTTTTTTTGATAAAGGTTAATAACTGTGTACATTACAAAACTCATCAAGAGCTTGTTGGACTAGTTGTCAGCATATTTTGGACCTTTCTGAGTCCAAAATTGTGTGCTAGTGACTGTCCAGTGTCCACTGTGTGTTAAATCATCTTCTAGTCTATATATATAATTTATTAGACTCCATATTTGAGTACTTTCCACTGTACTAGAGTGGCCATGAACAACCTTTATATTTTGCTCAATTGAGTTCCAATGTTTATATGATTTATGGTCTTGACAGCCGTGCTAAGTAATTCTGTACCACCAATGAGCCAAAAAAAAAAAAAAAAAAGAAATAAAAAATAGGAAGAAAGAGAGAAAATTTTGATGCTTTAATAACAGTTTGGTTTTTTATTCTAATAAAACTCTAATTAATAATGATCAAAAGTTCAAAACCTTGGGGAAAAGCTAATGACACCCTCATGGCCCTTGATATGTACCCAGCTGATGTTTGTATTTTGAAAATGCATGGGGCTGATATTTAGTCTAAAAAGTCACATGGACTGCTTCCTGCAGTTTTTTTTATTATTTTTTTTATTTTTAATTTGAGCTCTTGTTCATCTTTCTACTCTTAGTTAGACTTATTACCAGTATGGCAGTATATAGTTATCCCTATATTATATATTGCTATTTAGCCTCACAATTCCGAAGTGCATTCTGACTATCATCTTGGATCCTTTTGCGTTGCTAATTAATTACTGGTAGACTGAATCATGCCGTTTCTTACATGTTTTCAATGAATACTAATGTCAAAACCAACAAGAGAGTAATCTATAACTTTTATCAGAAATCTGACATGGAGCAGAGTTTAGAAGAGAAGAAACAACTCATTGCTGATTTGGAGAAAAGATCCCAGGTGTTAAAATTCTCTCTTTCTGTTGCTTAGCATAATCAGATAGTTAATATTTGATGTATTAACCTGGAACTTGATGGTGATAACAGAAATTGGAAGATTTGTTGACCTCTGCAAAAAAACAATCCTCAGTGCGTCAAATGCGGTTGACTAAGGTATTTGCCTGGATAAATAGCACATTATTGAGTATTAAATTGGGCATTTGAAGTCAATTGGTTTACTCATTGTGTCATGGATTACTTGCAGTTACATAAAGGTTTCCAGGAAGTAAAGGAGTGCGGAGAAAAACTGAAAAGTTCCGAAGAGAAACTCCAGGTCAATTTTCCTAGTCTTTTCACCATATTACTACTAAGACACATTTTCATACCTTTTTGTACTAAAGCATACCTAATAATCTGACTAATAGAGAGTTGTGTAGCATGTGCTTACTTCATGAGGAAGTATACTCTGAATAATTTCTGTTTTTGCTTGAATTTTTATTTAGTTTTGAGTCATGTAGCATAACATTCTGGGGTTCTCTCCTTTATCCAAATGAGCTGCACCTCCCTCCTCATGCAACAAATCAAAGCATATTTGTCAAATTCTGTCACTCGTGTTCTCAATCTCAGTACTCTGTGTATAGGGAACAGTATAGGGAACAGAGTTATGGAGATACTTGTGGATTTTGTATGAACTTGAAACATTGTGAGTGGATAAATTTTTCCTGGTCTTCTGTGTGAATCACAATTAAGTGATGACCTTTTGTTTCATAATGGTTTTTGTTATGGAGTAGCTACTAGGGGTTTGGGAACCTGCAATCTAAAAGACATGAGGACATTCTGACATCCTGTGACCTGGATTCAGCATTGCTCTGATCGTAGGGGAAGCTCTATATGGAGTGTATGATGTTTGGATGCAAGAAAAATAATTTACTGTGGTTTAATGTTTGATCACGTAGCAATGAACAGCCTTTTAGGAGACGAGTTGTTCTTATAGACTAGACTTTTCCAGGATCCATGCAATAATGCTCTTACTATATATATGTCCTTTGCTATGTGCAGAAACTTGTAGATTCAGTGAGCATGGAAATTGATGCTGGTGCTGCTGGTGATCTTGGAGCGAAGGATGTCAACCTCACAAACAGCAAACTTTGAGAAGCCTCTCTAAATGTCTTTTTACCTTGTAAAACAACAGCTCTTTTGCTGTATGTTTCTTGTTATGTATATACAGTAGAAACTTTTCTTTCTTTTTGTACCTATCGATCTTGAAATTCAGGCAGCCTTGTAGAGAGCAGCTCTCCAGGCAATGGAACCTGTAAATTATTGGCATTGTCATTGTGCTGGATTTTGAAACCTGTATATAGCAACTTCCTGCTCTCTATGTTGCGCTGTTTTATTGAACGCTTAAATTATAATGGGAAATTATCTACAGTCACCTCTACTGTCAAGATATTTGTCAATTTGAGACCATAAACAAGCACACAAGTGATGAATTCTGGGATGCTATTTGTACACTCTCATACGGTGCCGAAATCATCAACTCTGTGATAGAAGACATGGGCTATCCCATGAGTAATGCCACAAAATACCACAAATTGAGATCTTAGCCGTCCTGCCTCGTAATTTGTCGAGATAAGCTGAGAAATGTTTTTTGAAAAATTAAAAAGATGTACCATTACTCCATTAGTGTTATATCACCTTGTGTTTAAATCAATTTGACACATTAGCTTGAGGTCATTTTTGAGGTATAAAGGTCAAATACTATGACTATCTTTCATTATACTACCTATTAAAAACATACAAAGTATTGGTATAACATTTCTGTAAATTTTCATTGTTTAAGGTATCATTGTGTGTAAAATCTAGAAGCTCACTCAATGTACCCACTTTGTTACAAGAAATCCTTTTCACTTTTGTTTTAGAAATATTCACATATACCAGCTTACATTACTTTATTTATCATATGATCATATGTACCAACTTACATTACTTTATTTATCATATGATCATATGTACCAACTTACATTACTTTATTTATCATATGATCACACTTACCAACTTACATTACTTTATTTATCATATGATTACATGTACCAACTTACATTACTTTACTTATTATATGATCACATAGTACTCTGTAAATCTATTTACATTAAGAAAATTACTCGTATTTAGTAGAACAAAAGGATTACTCTTTACTAAATTAAGATAAAGCTTATTTCACAATATCACTATATTAGTTATCATTCAACTAATGTTGTACTCCCAAACCCTGGTTTAGATCATGTGTTAGTATGATTAAAAGAGTTAAAAAACTCTATTTCGATGTTAACTGTAGTCTCATGTCAGTTGGAATTTTCAATCTCGTCAAAAAAAAGTTATTGGAGCCTTCCAAGTTCCAATAGTACCCCTCACAAATTCAAATCATCATCGACTCTCACGAATTCAAATTGCAATCCACAGCACTTTCCCTCCTTTCCCCCTTTCTCCAACTTCTCACTGCTCCTTCGTTCTCTCTCCTTACTGAAGCATTATCAATGGCGCCCCAAATCCCTAAACCTCCGCAAAAACCCCTAAAACGTCCGAATAAACCCAAACCAATTCCAAATTCTACGAAGCAGCAGCAACCGCAAAACCCTAGCATCAAGCGAAATTGGTCAATTGCCGATTTTGAGATCGGAAAACCCTTGGGGAAGGGAAAATTCGGAAGGGTCTACCTTGCTCGCGAAGTCAAGGTTTTCCCCCCAATTTTTGCAGTAGTAATTGTTTCTTAATTCAATTATTCAATTGTACTGAATTTGTTTTCGATTTCGATGGAGCAGAGTAAGTATATAGTGGCGTTGAAGGTGATATTTAAGGAGCAAATTGAGAAGTATAGACTACATCACCAATTGAGGAGAGAGATGGAGATTCAAATGAGTTTACGCCACCCGAATGTTCTAAGGCTTTATGGATGGTTTCATGATGAAGAAAGGATTTTTTTGATCCTTGAGTATGCTTTTAGGGGTGAACTTTATAAGGAACTTCAGAGATCAGGTCATCTTCCTGAGGAGCAAGCCGCCACGGTATAATTTCGATATTCTGTTTAGTTTTTTCTGAATTGTGTGAGAATGTTGATGTTTAATTCTGTTGAGTTTATGAGGAATTTCGAGTTTTTTTGCTGTCGAAATGATGATTTAGTTGCTCATTTAGTGTTCTAATTTTGAGATTGGCTAATGTATGTTGATGGAATCATAAATTTAGAGAAATTAAATAGTTTGATTGCGAATGAGGGTTTTCGATACTGGATTAAGCTTCAATGACATGGAAGTTCAGTATTAGTTCTGATTTGGTGAGTGAAAAAGTACGATGATGATATTTGGAATTTCTTTTATTTTTCGCATTAATAGAATTTTAATTTTCAGTTTGGCTGAGCTTAGGTTGCTTCTTTTTTATTTATGGGGGATTTATTGTGATTTTTTTTTATTGAGACAGTACATTGCGAGTCTAACGGAAGCATTGGCCTATTGTCATGACAAGAATGTCATCCACAGGGACATCAAACCCGAGAATTTGTTGCTTGATCATGAGGTATTTTTATGACTTCTGAGTTACTAGCTAGCTGTGCTTTCTATTTGGTTTTATTGGGAGTGGACTATACTATTTTACTAATGTATGCAATTTAGAGTACTTTATTGTTTGATGTACTAATACATGTATGTTTTTCCTTGTGATTGGGTTGGTGTATATTGTGAGTCATTGATCTGGTAGAATTATCTGAACACACATTTCTCAGTCTCAATAATCAGTTTTCATTGCTTTAATCTGTAGCCCATTTCTATGAGGGTGTTACAAAAAAAGGCATAGAGAGTACAGACTGCCTTCATTAATCAATCGCTGCAATCTGTTACAACTTACAAACATCTGTACATAGTTTTTTGCTATATTTAGCTTGGTTATTAGCTAAGTGATGGGTTTCTTGGATGAAGATGAATAGTGTTGAATTCTATTTCATTTTAGGGTCGTCTGAAGATTGCAGATTTTGGTTGGTCTGTACAATCAAGAAACAAGAGGCACACCATGTGTGGAACTCTTGACTATCTGGCACCTGAAATGGTGGAAAACAAGGCCCATGATTATGCAGTTGACAACTGGACTTTGGGTGTGCTTTGTTATGAATTCTTGTATGGGGTACCTCCATTTGAGGCTGAGAGCCAACGCGATACTTTCCGGAGGTAAGAAAAATGCATAAATGTTTTCTTTTTTCTTCTAAAAAAAGAGTATATAGGTTGAGAGCCTGGCAGCCTGCTACTTAACAAGTCTTTTCCCTTTGTAGGATTATGAAGGTTGATTTGAACTTTCCGGATACACCCCAAGTTTCGTCTGAAGCCAAGGATCTTATTACCCGAGTAAGAATTTGCTTCACAGAATTTTCCTTGGAAATCAATGGACCTCTTAAATCTTTTTTGGAGTTTCTGAGCATGTAATTTTGACATCTTGCAGCTTCTGGTAAAAGACACATCAAAGAGGCTCTCTCTTCAGAAGATATTGGAGCACCCCTGGATTCTAAAGAATGCAGATCCCACTGGCATTTTCAATAAATAGTTCTTTCACCAAGCAAGTCAATGGTTATGTACACAGTGCTGTATCAAGTTTCAAGAATGTATTAGTGAGCAGAGCCGTGTCAAATGTGTAATTGGGTATGTACATATGACACTTCGTTTTAGACTAAACACTTTAAAATTTTCATGGAATAGTTGAGTGTGATTTTTGGATGCATAGCCACATATGTGTGTCTAACACCAATTACCTGGCTTTCCTATCCATTCATGTAATCGAGACAGCATAAGCTGTACATAATCAATTATCAGGATTTGATAATGCAAAATGTTTTAAAATGTTCTCACTTGGTAGATATATTTGGCAAAGAGTTCTTGCTTACCTTTCTTTGGGACAGTAATTTACTCACACTTTGTTTCCCATTTGTTATAACTTGTAATCTTCTTCGCCATTTTTGGTGCTATTTTATCTAATTACTTGTATACCAACAGAGAAATTTTTATGCGCTGCAATATATATGAATGGTCAGAATTCAGAAACAACGGGAGGGTGCCATTGTGTATTATTTACTTTCCTGCCTATCCTGTGAATATTATGGTTAGCAAGGAATGCTCTTTGCCTAATTTGGGCATGTTTGGGATGATAACAAGCTGAAGCTGGAGTTCATCGATTTGGATCATTGCACTTTCACTCAAATTAGCCGAGTCTTAATTTTGTTTTGAGCCCTTATTTTCAAGCTCGGCCTATCTAAAAAATTAGTTCGAGTGTGAAAATTGTTACAAAATTTATATACTTCTAAAGAATTCTGCAATGTTTTTATAGTTAAGCTTTGGCAGTTTAGCTATATTTTGTTAAGATCCTCATTAGTAATGTTCAATTTGTTAGTACTCAAATTACAATTTGATTTCTGTAACTATTGATAAAATAGTATTATAAATTTCAAGCCTGTTTATGAGTTGTATAAGTTAAGCATAGCTATGCTCAACTCAGGATTCTCTAAATTGAGCTCAAGTAGCTTGCAAGTAAGAGGGCTTGTTATAACCCCTAGCGTGTCCTACTCTCTGGCAAGCTATTGATGGCTTTTGGGTGGTTTGTCTAGTATCCTTGTGGTATAGAGAAGCAGGAGCTTTATTAGTACCTTACTCTGTATATTTAATGAAAATGGCTAGCACATAGAACCATAAGATTGTAATTTCTTTAGTTGTATATACTACCTCCGTTTTTTATCAGTTGACACATTTTGACTTTAGAACTATTTACACACCTCCCTTTGATCATGTTTTGTGATTTATATGTGAAGAAAAATATAGTGCAAGTGCAATCTTGTTAAATTCGTCACAATGTATATTTTCAAATTATCAACTTTTTATAATTTTTGATTATCGGTAATTAAAGATATTAATGATTGAATTTATGCATTGACAAACGTGACTAAAGAAACGTGTCAACTAAAAAGAAACGGAGAAAGTATATAACATCTCTTCAGGTGCCATTAAGTTTTAGGAAATGATCCAAAATTGTTACATGGAGTTTAGTTGGAATGTGCAGTTTTTGTATTCATAGAAAGTAGAGCTCATGTATGATTAACATGAGTATACATTAACTAGTGTATTATGTTAGGTTGTTATCTTTGGCAAAAAAAATTATGCTTCCCTCTTTCCTTTCTCTTTAGACTTTTACTTTTCCTTTTCCCCCTTTTTTTCCTCTTTAGCATTTCTTTTTTCATCTTATCTCCTGGATAATGTTCTTTCTTTATTTGTATGATTTTTGAATCTTTGTTCTTGCATGAGCCTGAGTTCTTTTAAGTTAAAATTTTTATATTAGGGAGCAGGGATGTAGGGCTATGGTTCGCATTGGCCAGCCCTGTCCAAGGCATTACATGACCTAACTTGGTCTTGGTTCGGCCCCATACGGGCTCAAGCCATGTATTTGTCAACAGTCGACACAATACAAGGTTAGGCTAGGATGACACAACATGGGATCCGGAAAAAGTCACAACTACATGCTGCATGACCCAACTTTTTTACCATATGAGTTTATACTTTCTAGCCTTAAAAGCATGAAATTCCTCCTATAACCCTTTTTTTTTTTCCCTTACATATTCATCATTCTCCTAATTTCTGGGATTGAGTATTTACTGTTCTTACGAACTTGGGGTCAGTTTACCTTGTCCTTTTTACAGTAGTTAACATATATTCAAGGGCAAAACTGTCAATACAACCAAAAGTTATTGGCTTCATGTAACTCTATACATGAATTTTATCACAAGATAGTGATTACTGAATAGGAAATCTAAGAACAATATGTAAGTTAATAAAATGAACACTCACTTTCTCTTTATGCTCCCTCTCTACACATATTAATTCACACAAGAATTAGAACAAAACTTAGAAAACCCTAATTCTAACCCTACAAACAGTAATTAACTAGAATTTTAATGTAATCTGGCTTCCATTACTCTCCTCACCATCATCTCTTAATGCTGCCAGCTTCCTTCCTTCTCCTCCATTCTCCCCGCTTTCGCCTTTCCAGCTACTGCAATCTGACTTCCCATCTTCGATGCTCTCGGACCGGTCACCGGCTCGTTGAGCATCAGATTCCGGGGAGCTATGAGTCTGTGTGTGAGAGGTAGTCTTGTACACATGAAGCTGGTGATGGTGGTGGTGTTGTAGGGCTGGATGGTGCAGTGCTTGTGGGGGTGCTACTGGTTGTGGATAATAGTCTGGTGGGACTGTAGGTGAGCAATAGTGTGATGAGACTTGAGTACTTGGGTGAGCACTGTAAATGGTGGGTGCACCACCATGTGCAGCAGCAGCCGCGGTGGCGTATTCGGGTGGGACCCATATTCCTCCTAAGACAACCAGCTGTGGTGCTTGGCCTCCTACTGCTTGAGGACTTGGGCTAGGTCTCCTGGTGTGAAGTCTATATTTCTGCATGTTGGTAAAAAAAAAAAAAAAATACAAAAAAAGTTACCACAAACTGTAAAAAACATAAAGAAAAGTTAAAGACCAAAAGAGTAGAGACAATTAGTATATGCTCTGCACTATATAGTACATTATCAATGTGTATGTCATGATTGCATGTTCAGAGAAAGATTGTTACCTGGAGGTGACTTTTCACTTCATCATTGGTTAAGCCATCAACCTTCATTAGCTCCCTAATTTGTTTAGGGGTAGCTACTGTTTACAAAGATAAGCAACCAATAGTCAGTTAATTATCCTTGTTTTTAAAAGCTAATGATAGTGACATGATCAGTTTTAGACATATTTAAAAGCACTTCTACACAACCTGCATTCTAGGTTGTTTGTATGTGATGATGATCAAATTATCATAAAAAGGAATGAATGAAATACCATATAATTATGTCATAATAATGTTGAAAAGATAATAATAATTACCTTGTGAACCACCAAGCATCTGAAGGGCATTGACAAATCGTCGGTGCAAGTCTGGTGACCAACACCGCCTTGCTTTCCTGTTTGTCTGGGTTGTGGTAGTGGTGGTGGTTGTCGCGATAGGTGCTTGACTATCTGTGGAGGCCATGCCAACTATTGCATTTCCTCCTTTGCTAGAATTATCACTCCTTGATCCACTCAATCCATTTTCACTCTTGTCATCTACCTCTCTGTCACTTGATGCTAGGGCCAAATCTGGTAGTGGCCTTATGTTTGAATTGTTAGGAACCGAGTTTCGTTCTTTTGCGAATGGAAGAAAAGCTCCTCCATTTCTCTGTTTGGTGTCTAATGCTAGTTTAGGACTGCTGACACTGAAGCCAGTATCAGCTTCAGATTTAGGCAATGTCGTCGAGGACTGTTGCTTGTTCGCGTCACCTGCAGGGCTCCATAGCTGTGCAGATACCATCCAATTGGCCTTGTCAGAAATGTTTGCTGTCTTTTGGTCAGACCCTTCTAAGTTGGAATGTTTGAGTGGCATAAATTCTTCAAGAACCGGCCTTGCACCTTGATTATTTACTCTGAAAGATTGTAACTGCTGCCTTGATGCTTCCATGGCTGATGAGTAAAATAAAGTTATAAATTATGAGACTTTTTTGTACGAAAAAAATAAATAAAAAATCAACCCTAGAAAGAAGCAAATCTTGGTTTTTATTTTTATTTTACTGTCTGATTCAATTTATTACTTTGTCTGATTATGTTACTTTCTAGTGTTATCTTTGTTTGGAATTTGTTTGTAGATTTTGAGTGAAAACTAAAAGCCTAAAATAAAAGTTGCATGCAAAAAAAAAGCCTTATTATCCTCATCTTTATTTGTGAATTAGAGGAAAAAAAGATCAAAAGTATTTCACAATAAATCCACAAAGAGTAAAACTGTATTCATCAAAAGTATTATATTGCTTGGTTTAAATAACATACTGATTTGATTATTGTTGAGCCTTTTGGTTTTGATGGACAAATTGACAAACTCGACTAATGAATGTTTTGAGTCTTTGGTGAATAAAGGATTCAAGCAAAGTTCGTTCCGGAGTAGGAACTTAGATGCGGAGTAGCATTCTTTAAAAAGCCTCGTGCAAATCTCACGTTCTAGTTTTAATTGTGAGCACTCAATAATATAAAGTCGGAAAGGAACTCAATGACTTATGTTAAAGACTACTGGAATAAAAGTTAGTTTTAAAAGATAATTTCTTAAAGAAAAGATAATTTGTAAAAGTTTTAATAAAGATAATTATCGAAGATAATTATCTAGTTGTTTTAATAAATAATAAATTTATCTTTTCAAATAAAATCTTTTTAAACAAACTTTTGATAATCTTTTAAATAAATATTTGATAAAGTTAGCAAGTGGTTTTTCTGTGAGAAAATCTTTTATACGGCTAATGGTTATCAAGTTGTTAGGATAGTGGTTTAATTAGATAAGGCTAGGAAACCTCTTCATGATCACAATCTGTCAAGATAACTCCACAAGTTGTTAGTGGGTTGTTGACATGTGGACGTGATTATGGTGGAGGTTAATGACTAAGCCTTCTCTATAAATACTCATGCAAACTATCTCAGTAAAACACAACTCTTGAGCATAAAAATTCCAGTAGCCATCTAATAACATAAAGAGAGTTATTTTCCTTCATATATTCTTGAGTGCAATAGGTATTTGTAATCACAGATTGTATTCAAGTACTTAGGGGTTGGGATTGTGAGTTTGTAAAGTGAGGTCAAGGAAGCTTCGTTGCTGAAGTCTTCTGTGAGAGTTGGGAACAAGTTCCTAATTTGTGGAACTTGTTAACGGGTTTGAATCTTCACTTGTAAAGAGTTTGATTACTTAGTGGAAATTTAGAAAAGCCTATATCTTCTCTCGTCACTATTTCATTTAGTTAAATTCCGCAAAAAGTTTTTAGATTTCACCTCAAATACAATTCACCCCCCCTCTTGTATTAGCCAGTTAGACTTTCAGTTGGTATCAGAGCAGGAACTCAGAACACGCAGGCAACCCTGTTGAGTAAGTTCCTGGAAAATGGCTTACACAGAGGAAAAGGAATTCGGGAGTACATCCATTCAAAGGCCTCCATACTTCAACGGCAAATTTTATCCTTATTGGAAGGATAAGATGGAAATCTTTATCCAAGCAGAGAATTATCAGGTATGGCGAATTATACAAGTAGGAGATTACGAAATTACGAAAACGAATGCTAATAATGAGGTAATCCCTAAACCTATGGATGAGTATGAAAAAACTGATCTTGAAAAACTTGAAATGAATGCTACTGCCAAAAAGTTTTTAATTTGGGGACTTGGACCCGATGAACATACTCGTGTCAAAGGGTGCAAGTCCGCAAAGGAAATTTGGGATCTTCTGGAAGTTACACATGAA